AGGAATTGGGCTGGGAAGTCCTGCCTCATCCGCCATACAGCCCAGACCTGGCACCATCCGATTACCATCTGTTCCGGTCGATGCAGCACTCCCTGGCCGAGAGAAAGTTCACAAACCGCGAAGAAGTCCAACTCTGGGTGTCCAACTACTTTGAGTCGCAGCCGGCCGAGTTCTTCCTTGAGTTCTTGAGTTCCTCTTTTGCCGGCAATCATGGTAATTTTCGATGCGGTCGGATACTCGTCACACTTCTTGAACTGCATGCTCCTACTTGTGACATGGCAATGGCCACACCGCTGACTTTGGCTTGCTCTCCGTTATAGTACAGATTGAATCCTACGATCCTACTCGTCTGGCGCCGGCCCATTCCGTTTCCCAATGCGCGTATCTCAGTGTTCCTTTCCGCCAACATGTCCGTCAGTTTGGCAGATTGGCCAGCTACGGTGCCATTGTTGAGTTTGGCCATCCTGTGGTCTTGTAACTGTCCTCTACAGGATTTCCTAGTTTGTGTGCATTATTGTGAGCGCCCTGGTTTGGCCCACTACGGTGGGCAACCTAGCTCTCACCGGAATATTTGTAAAATCCATTGAAATCATGATTGCGCAGAATTAAAAATCCTTGTGAGTAAAGCTCTGCAGCTCTTCTATCCTCTGGAGGCACCCTGGCCTTCCCATGCCACGTTGAGGCTGTGTGGGAGTGAATTCAAAATGAAAAAAGTATATTATAGTTCTTAAACAGATTTGCTCATTCACTGGATACATTTTTTTTCTCGTGCAAAACATTTGATCATTCTTCTTGGGCAAGATTCTCTGGAATATGAAGGAGACAACAAGTATAATGCGCAGCCTTACTTTGAGTATTAGCTGTATTTGTTGTGTTTTTTTTTCTGCTTGGTTCAGGAATCCAAGGCCTGCTTTTCGATATTCTTATTTTGTCTGACGTCGAGAGCTAGCATAAGTAAATCATGTCTGCTTTCGATATGTTGAGCCTGTCATATCAGGGCAGCACCAGTGCGTTGTGGTCATTTTCCGCTAATAAGCCGTCCTCGCTCAAAATAGGGTTCTTTGATACGGCCCCCCGCCCTCGTGCATATGCAAACTTTTTATAAAGCTTTTATAAAGCAAAGATAGTTATAAAATAAAGAGGAAAATAAGCACTAGACCACAGAGAGATAAAGCACCTTATGTTTCGGATTTCGTTTCACTTCTGTGATATGAACTTGCTTCCGATAGATGGAAAGGATTACACCTCACATTTGAGTGTGCGTGTTTTCTGGAAGAGGAATTGTTACAGTTCTCTATTTGGTCCGTCTCTCGCGAACGGGTAGCCTCCTCAGCCAAAGTAAGCCACGATGGACATATGCTTCTCTACTTTTCTGCTCACGATTGTCTCATAAAGAAATATGGAATCATGCACTTGGTGAGTAAACAGAAGAGGCTGAAGTCACCGTAAGCGAAAGAAATATGCATAATTAAACGACGACTTCTTTAGGGGATGCAAATGGAATAGTGTTCCAAATAGATAAGGATAAACCGATCGACAATGTTTCCACAGGAAGGGGTAACGTGATTACATATGCCACGCCTGCAAGTCGAGAAACGCTGCCTACGTTACCAGTGGTAATTTCTAAATTCTACGAACGCAAATATCGCGCTCGGATATTTGCGCGGTGATTTCCGCGAACCAGGCCCTATCCGACCAGTGGAATAATCCATTAGAAAGCGGTATGTGTGTACCCTAAAGACCGGCAGATTCCGCCATTCAATAAGTCTTGGTATTTCCTGATGGTTTAGTCGCGTACGGTTTTTGCGCCGTAGAACGTCAAAGGTAAGGCGTTGCAAACTTAAAAGCAATGGTTACTTTCAGAGAGGTTGATTTGTTAAAACTCCTTACTTCTAGAAAACTCTCTAGTACTTCTAGAAAAGATCTCTAAAAGATGTGACAAAAAGAAATTGTAAACAGTGGGTAGTCGCGGAAATTATGAGCCATTAGATAACAGAACATAGAGCAAACAACAATAAGGGAATTCTCTACTCAATTAGAAGCTCTCTTGGGCGTTCATACATTACGGCAGCGCCTACCAGCGTCTACCGGAGTCCACCAGCGTTCCCGTTCATCAGCTTCCGGGATCAGAGAGTACGGGGAAGTTAGAAGAGTTAGAAAAACAGCTGTGTTTGTGTAATTGCGGCGTGTGCAGCCGCACCGCACAGTTGCTAAAGCACAGGAAGATGCAATTTGATGTACGGTTTAGTGTCGCTGTGTTGTGCCGCTTTCATCGCAAGCTTACCTTAGCTCGGCGAAAAAAATCCGTTAAGTAGGGTTAGTTGCAAAGAGCAGACTTGTATGTGGCTAAAGTGACTCGCTCGTAAAGGCAGAATAAGAAAAAGGAAACCGTCTAGAAAGGCTTCAACTAATGTCAGACTCGTGCCACGCGAATGACAAACAATTTGAACAGCGGTTGAGAGGCTAGAGAAGGCAGCGAGAGAGTATGCAAAAAAAGAGAGCGTCGACATCTACCAATTTGGGCGGAGTTAATGACGCCTTACCGCTACCTTGCTGTTTTCTGATGTGAAACTTATACACGGTTGCTCACTGCAGCTCACACTACTTGTCCTGCTGAAGAGCTTAGTACTGATGAGTGATCCGGGGCGCTGCTCCCGCCCACCCCCCACCGTCTTGTTCACACATTTTTGTCTGATCGGCAGAGTAAAATTGGTTTTGAAGACTAGCCATCTAACATCTCATCTCATCAATCTTATATTTACTTTTTTATCTATCACGGACATTATGTTCAGGAAGACAAAACAGCCAACTCATCGGCTGTGGCTCCTCAAACCACAACATGCCGCAAACCAAAATTGGTGACATCGGAGGCTTAAGTAAGTTTAAGGCGCGCTTACCATGTTTTTCTCATAACGGCATTGATGTGCAGTGCAATGGAGAGCAAATTTATTACGTATCACGAAGAGGGTACGGTTTCTGTTCCCTTGACAGTGGCATGGTTCGCCGTATTTTAGCTTATTCAGGCAGTGTTAAGACTTCTTCGTTGATCGCGCATGCTTCCGTCGTCGTCGAAAGCGTGACGATCGACCGCGTCGAACGTGCCATCGCGGAGTCTGAGCGCTGTTTTGCTTGAAACCGACACACAAAATGAGTTATTCTTGTGAGCGCACAGTATCGCGGGAGTGTACCGCGGGAGATGGACAAAGCAACCGTAGTCTGTTGGTGTCCCACGTGCGGCGTATCTTGCGGCAGTGCCGCCGCAAAGTGGCAAGGAATGCAGAAAAAAACCTAATTGATTTCAGATTCCGGGAAGGCATTGAATAGAGCACGGAGGGGTTGGCTCATCTGGATGATCTTCTATGGATTTTTCACTGGATCTCTCATAGCGCTTATCATCGCCGGGCTCATTTTGTACTTTGCCCGACGTTCTGTGTATGCTTGCCTGCGTAAGCAGCATCATGGACAATTCTCACAATATCGAAAGTAGTGTTTGTGTTTCAGGTGGAAGTAGACATAATCAACATAGAATGTCTTTATCGCTTTCAATTGCCAACCACAGCTCGTTAATCCCACACGGTCGTAGGGTACCTAATCTTTTTCGACGCTACCGACCTTTCCCGTTCAAGAAAACTTCTAGCAGTTTCCTTACTTTGGCAAGTCCCGCGTTCATGAATGCGCAGACGCCTTTTTTGATCAAGGTAGTCCGTGGAGGGAGAATAGAACTCCCACATATCATCTATTACGTGCCTACAAATGGTGTTTCTGGCCTCTGCACATTTATGCGTGGCTTCCGTTTGTTGTTCAGTATGATAGCAGCCTACAGAAACCATCCATTGTTTCTCTGCAATTATTGCTGGGTTTAGGTAATCGTGGTTATGTACAAGCGGTATGGATGCGACGCGTCGTCGCGTGTATCTGGCGGAGTCACAGGTAGTCAGTTCGGAACCACAGCAACTGGAGGTGTGTGTTTAGGGTTTTAAGTTTGCTAATTTGTCCTGCTGTTGTAATGGAACTGACTCTAGCATCAACGATGGGTGGTACAACTGGATCAACAATGGGTACGACTGGTACCACCGGCACGACCGGAGGAACAACTGGTTCAACGATGGGCACGACGGGAGGAGGCACAACGGGTACGACCGGCGGTGGTACAACCGGCGATGGTACTACGGGTGGTACATCAGGAACTTCTGGTGGAGATATGGTTACTATGTAAATTAATGGTTTCAATAAATCTTTGTTCATTGATCGAAGTATTTTCTGAAGTTCACATCACAGCTATGGATTCAGAACTGTAAGTTACAATTCAGTAACGGATTCGTCTGCAAACGCAATACTAACCATACGTTTTACAGCCAGCATCACCTCAAATAACAGAAAAGCTGAAAGCGTAAGAAACTTCTGCTTCTATGCACGCGCGTCCCTCGAGCTGCATTTGGACTTCACGACCATCAGACATAGCATCGAGGCGCTACCGCTACGACCGCGTTCCAATGCCCTAGACCGGACCGCAGCCATGAATGGTCATCGATCGGCGCCGGCCACTCGTTTCTAGGAAGATTTGAACCTAGGAGGTTACCAAACAGTGTGATTAAGCGCTATGAAATAGAACTTCGCCGTATTGCCATCGTACTGAAGGCCCTTCTGTCTTATGGCGCCTAATCACGCGGTTCGATACCTTCTTATCCTCCTATATTTTCCCAAAACCCCTGTAGGTGGCGTCGATTGATGTCCACCTATTCTGGCTACGTTCACGTCCACGGCTGCGCTCGCGGCTGTAGTATTGGAGCGCGTTTCCAACGATAGTGCGTCGATGCGCGTCATCGCAAAGTCCGAGCGCAGCTTCAGCCAGTTCAGTCGCGTTATTTCATTCTGGTGGTGGTCGTGTACTGCTCCTCCGTCTTCGGTAGACCAGTGATTATGATTATGATTTATTATCGGTTAGTAAAGCAGAACAAAACACAACATAGTTATTGAAATTGACCGATAAGCGGCAGCATGCAATTAATGAACAAATGATAAAACAAAGCAGCACATGGAAATAAGTTGTAGAAAATGGATTGAGCGGAATAAGCGGGGGAAGGGAGCGGCAACGAGGAGGCAGTGGAACACTTGGTGGTGCAGAGCAGTGGCCCACCAACACTGCAAGTCGCGAGAGGAGAGAAGAGCGGCTCCGGATACCATCTTAGTAGGTCCGTCAACTCCACCAAGGTCCACTTAGCATCGTGCCGAACGTGGTGCGTGTGTAGGGGAGAAAGAAGTGGTTCAAACTCTGGGGAAGGGAAACAAT